GGGCTGTGTGGTGGGGGCGGGGGGCTGTGTACCTGTGGAGGTGGGCAGTGTGGTGGACAGATGGGATTACACGAGACAGTTGAGGTAGGAGCCTGGGGCGTGTACCCAATCAATAAGAATAGGCAAGATGGGAAACAGGGTGGGGGTGTCCATCTGGTGGAAAGGCCACCAGGGTGGGGTCCCTGCTCCTTCCTGCAGGATCGTGTGTGTGGTTGACGCCTCAGAGGAGTCCACTGCAGGAGGCATTGAGGTGGACATCAATGGGAAGCTGGGCTACTCACCACCTCATGTGCAGTTCACCTACCAAGTACGTGCCCAGTCCTGGGGTTTGGAGTCTGCCTTCAGGGGGCCGTGCAGGGAGACGTGACACCCTGGAGTCATCTGGTGGCCATGAGGGGTTCATGGCCTGTCTCTGTGGCCCTGGCCCAAATGTACCCTTTGGTCTTTCAGCAGCCACAGCCAATGGATGTGACCCCGAAGCAGGGGCCTCAAGCCGGCGGCACCTTGCTGACCATCACTGGCATCAATCTGGACACAGGATCCAAGGAGGACGTGCGGGTGATACTCAACAATGTCGCTTGTGAAGTGTGAGTGTTGTGGACCTGCTAGGAACCTGGGGGAGGAGGTGGCAAACCAGAGGGGCTGACCCTGGGTGGGGGCCCTGACGTGCTCACCCCACTACAGGACCAAGTTTGGAGCAGAGCTCGAGTGCATGACTGGCTCCCAGCCAAAGGTGGGCGAGGTGTCCCTGGAGGTGTCCTATGGGGGCTCGCCTGTGCCCGGCCCCAACATCGTCTTTTCCTACCGAGACAACCCAGTTCTGAGGGCCTTTGAGCCGACCCGGAGCTTCGTCAGGTGCTGACCCTCCACCCCTCAGCCCACACCCACTCTTCTCTGCCCTGGCTCACCTTCCGGGACACAGTGTGGCAAGAGGTGGCCCCAAAACCCCCACCAACCCCAATTCAGCGTGTGCTGAAAGCCAGCCAGCCATGCAGACAGTGGGACGAGGGTCGCGGAGGGCCAGCCCACTTACCTCTTGTCCCCACAGTGGCGGCAGGAGCATCAACGTCACCGGGCAGGGCTTCGGCCTGATCCAGAGGTTTGCCATGGTGGTCTACGCCGAGCCACTGCAGTCCTGGAGGCGGCGGCGAGAGACTGCACCCCCAAAGCCTGTGAAGGTCAGTTCATGCCCTGGCCAGCAGTGGGGGCCTGGGGCCCAGAGCAGCCTGACCACCCCGCCTCCCCGCAGGTTGTAGGCACCGACTACGTCTACCATAGTGACACCAAGGTGGTGTTCTCGTCCCCGGCCGTCCCTGAGGAGCCCGATTCCTACAACCTCACAGTGCTGATCGAGATGGACGGGCACAGAGCTCTTCTCAGGACTGAGGTCGGTGCCTTCCAGTATGTGGCCGACCCCACCTTTGAGAACTTCACGGATGGTGTCAAGAAACAGGTCAACAAGCTCATCCATGCCCAGGTGAGTGCACGGTGGACTTGGGTCCCATCTGGGGGACCATGAGGGATAGGACCTGGGTTTCATGGGGTGGGGGGGCCTTGAGTGGTAGGACCTGGATCTCATGGTAGGGGCAGGGAGAGGGCTTTCAGGGGACCTGGGTCTCATAGGGAGGGAGAGGCCTTTGAGGGGATCTAGGTCTCATGGGGCAGGAGAGGGCATTGGTGGGGGGACCTGGGTCTCATGTAGGGGTCTTGAGGGGTGGGACCTGGGGGGATGCAGGGGGACTTTGGTCTCAAGGGGCGTTATGAAGGGGTACTTCAGGTCCTGTTTCCAGAAGGACTTGTTGGGCTTGGATCCCACTTGGAAAACGCAGGAGGAGCCTTTGAGGGTATTGATCCAGAGGCTAGTGCAAAGTGGAGAGGCCTGGGTCCCACCTCACAGAGCACTGTGGGGCCTTGGTCTCAGAGAACAGGGTCCAGGTTGAGCCGGTGCGGTGCCTCTGACTGTCCGTCCCCCCAGGGTACCAACCTGAATAAGGCCATGACGCTGCAGGAGGCCGAGGCCTTTGTGGGTGCTGAGCGCTGCATTATGAAGACACTGACGGAGACGGATCTGTACTGCGAGCCTCCTGAGGTGCAGCCCCCGCCCAAGCGGAGGCAGAAGCGTGACACCACCCACAACCTGCCTGAATTCATCGTGCGTGCTGGGGGGACACCTGCCGCAAGGCACCCCTAACCCACGGGCCCCCATCAGTGCACCCCCACCCACAACCTGCCTGAGTTCATCATGCGTGCTGGGGGACACCCACTGCAGTGCACCCCCACCCACAGTCCCCAACACCAATGCATCCCCTCAACCACGAGACCTCTCCCCACAGGACCCCCACTAGTGCACTCCCACCCACAGCCTGCCTGAGTTTATTGTGCTTGCTGGTGGGACACCTACCACAGTGTACCCCTCACCCACAGGACACCCACCACAGTGCACCCCTCAACCATGAGACCCCTCACCCACAGGACACCCACCGCAGTGCACCCCCCCCCACCCACAACCTGCTGGAGTTCATCATGCATGCTGGGGGGACAGCCACCACAGTGCACCCCTCACCCATGGCACCCCCACCCACAAACCTGCCTGAGTTCATGCATACTGCCGCACTGCACCCCTCGACCATGAGACCCCTCACCCACGGGACACCCACCACAGTGCACCCCTCAACCATGAGACCCTTCACGCACGGGACACCCACGGGCCCCACACCAGTGCACCCCTCATCCACACGCCTCTCCCTGTAGGTCAAGTTCGGCTCCCGGGAGTGGGTGCTGGGCCGCGTGGAGTACGACACACGTGTCAGTGACGTGGCGCAGCGGCTCGGCCTCATCCTGCCCTTGGTCATCGTGCCCATGGTGTTCTTCATCGCCCTGTCTGTCTACTGCTACTGGTCAGTTCCTGCCCGCCCGCCCCACCCCCACGGTCTCCCTTGGGACCCTGTGCCTAGCGAGGAGCCCGCCCTCTGTCCCCCCAGGAGGAAGAGCCAGCAGGCCGAGCGCGAATACGAGAAGATCAAGTCGCAGCTGGAGGGGCTGGAGGAGAGTGTGCGCGACCGCTGCAAGAAGGAGTTCACAGGTAGCGCGTGGCTGGCCGCGGCACAGGTCTGCCGGACCCTGCGGGCGGGGAGGAAGTAGTGCAGGGCCTCTCTCTGTCCCCTCGTAGACCTGATGATCGAGATGGAAGACCAGACCAATGACGTGCACGAGGCGGGCATCCCGGTGCTGGACTACAAGACCTACACGGACCGCGTCTTCTTCCTGCCCTCCAAGGATGGGGACAAGGACGTGATGATCACGGGCAAGCTGGATATCCCAGAGTCCCGACGGCCCACAGTGGAGCAGGCTCTCTACCAGTTCTCCAACCTGCTTAACAGCAAGTCCTTCCTCATCAATGTGAGCGTGGACGTGGACGGGGGGCGGGGTCTGTCAGCAGGGCGGGGCTGGGCGGGGCCAGGAGAGGAGGCGGAGGCGTTGTCTGGGGGGCAACGTGAGTGGAGACACCACCCACGGCCGGGGGAGTACTACTGTCGGGGCAGGGTTGTGCCAGGGCGAGGGTACTGTCTCGGGCAGGCTTAACTGCCTGGTGCCCACAGTTCATCCACACCCTGGAGAATCAGCGGGAGTTTTCAGCCCGAGCCAAGGTCTACTTTGCATCCCTGCTGACGGTGGCACTGCATGGGAAGCTGGAATACTACACGGACATCATGCGCACGCTCTTTCTGGAGCTTATGGAACAGTATGTGGGGGCCAAGAACCCCAAGCTGATGCTGCGCAGGTGTGCAGGGGTGAGGCGCGGGCAGGGCAGGGGCGTTCCGGGATAGGGCAAGCTTGGTCAAGGGACGGAGTAGTGGGAGCACACTGGGGCGAGGGCACAGCATGGGCAGGAAGAGAGAGAGCAGGGTTACCGGGGGCTGGCACAGGGCTTTACTGGGGCCCCAGTGGGGCTGATTCCCTCACAGCCTTGGACTTGGTGATCATATGGCCAGTGGGATGAAGTGGAGATGCTGGGCCTTCCACGGTCAAGTGCATGTATGCTCGTGTTTGGCCACCAGGCCCTTGCTCAGGCAGCTTGCCCATGTGTCCTGGTGGTGATCTGAGGGCTGCAGAGGGTGGGTGTCAGACCTCAGGACATTGAGGATGTCCCTGTACCCCAGGTCAGAGACGGTGGTGGAGAGAATGCTGTCCAACTGGATGTCCATCTGCTTGTACCAGTACCTCAAGGTGGGTCCAGTACCCCCAGAGTCCACAACCTATGCCTGCTTCCCACCCCGCCTATGAACAGATCACAGACACCCAAGTCTCCTGTCTGCACTGACTGTCCCCATCACCCCAGGACAGCGCCGGTGAACCGCTCTACAAGCTGTTCAAGGCCATCAAGCACCAGGTGGAGAAGGGACCAGTGGATGCTGTGCAGAAGAAAGCCAAGTACACCCTCAACGACACGGGGCTGCTGGGAGATGATGTGGAGTACGCACCGCTGGTGAGCAGGGTGTGGTGGGAGGGCAGCTCCGGGCAGGGGGCCCTGCTGGGGGAGGAGGGCTCTGCAGGTGAGGACAGGAGCACGTTGGCAGGGGTGGGGTGGAGGTAGGACCGGAAGAGGATGAGGAGTGCTGCCAGGCAGAGGACAGGAATCAGGAGGAGGTGCTGAGGCCGTGAAGGTGACCACTGGCCACAAACTTGAGCCTGGTGTTCCGTGGGGACCCGTACCTGAGCCAGGTAGGGTGGTTCTTAAGGTGGGAACATGCTTTTGGCCTCTTGTCCCTCACAAGGTGATAAGCCCTTGGCACTTGTGAAGGGACCAGTGTGTGGTCGTCTCTCCCACCCGACAGCTGGCCCTGAGTGGCTATATAGACAACGCTGAAGGCAGTTCTGGGCAGCAGCATCTTTCTGTTCTGCAGACGGTGAGCGTGATCCTCCAAGATGAAGGGGTGGATGCTATCCCTGTCAAGGTTCTCAACTGCGACACCATCTCCCAGGTCAAGGAGAAAATCATTGACCAAGTGTACCGTACACAGCCCTGCTCTCGCTGGCCCAAGGCCGAGAGTGTGGTTCTGGGTGAGTGGACAAGCCAGTTGGACATGGGTGGGGTGAGGCGAGCCTGAGTGGGAGTGAGCGGCACTCTCTCCTGCAGAGTGGCGTCCTGGCTCCACTGCACAGACCTTGTCAGACCTGGACCTGACGTCCCAGCGAGATGGACGCTGGAAGCGCATCAACACCCTGATGCACTACAACGTGAGCATGCCCACAGGGCTGGGAACGGGCCAGCCAGCCCAGCTCGGCCACTGTGCCCACCTCCCTTCTGTCCTGCAGGTCCGGGATGGAGCCACCCTCATCCTGTCCAAAGTGGGGGTCTCCCAGCAGCCTGAAGACAGCCAGCAGGACCTGCCTGGGGAGCGTGAGTCCTCCCCTCTTGCTGCTATCTGTCCTTCACCTCTTTCAGCCCATGCCCCATCCTCCCCTGCTGTCCTCCCTGGCCCCAGCTCTGAGTGGCCACAGGGGAATGCAGGATTCTTCATACCACTGGGGTCATCAGCACACACTCCACAGGTCACGCCCTCCTGGAGGAGGAGGACCGTGTGTGGCACCTGGTGCGTCCAGCAGACGAGGTAGATGAGAGCAAACCCAAGCGAGGAAGTATCAAGGAGAAAGAGCGCACCAAGGCCATCACCGAGATCTACCTGACACGGCTTCTGTCCGTCAAGGTGTGTGCTGGGGGGTGGGGGGGGGTGGCAGAGAGCCCCAGGCCCAGCAGCCAGCCCCACCCACCTGACCACTGCCCACCTGGCCTACAGGGCACGCTGCAGCAATTCGTGGACAACTTCTTCCAGAGCGTGCTGGCCCCTGGCCACGCAATTCCACCAGCCGTCAAATACTTCTTTGACTTCCTGGATGAGCAGGCAGAGAAATACGGCATCCAAGACGAGGACACAATCCACATCTGGAAGACCAACAGGTGAGGCTGGACAGCCCTGCCCACCAGCCCCGCCCCCACTCCAGTTGCCCACACTCACCCATGCCCTTACCCCACCCCCACCCTCGCCCTTCCCCCCCTAGCTTGCCGCTACGGTTCTGGGTGAACATTCTCAAGAACCCCCACTTCATCTTCGACGTGCATGTGCACGAGGTGGTGGATGCCTCACTGTCAGTCATTGCCCAGACTTTCATGGACGCCTGCACCAGGACCGAACACAAGCTGAGCAGAGTATGTGGCTGGCAAGGTGGGGGGCACTGAGTGAGAGGGGAACCAGTCTAGAATGTTAGGGGCTCGGGCCCATTACTGCCAGCCCCCCAGTCTTGCCCCCATCACACATGGTTCTGTGCCGTGCCCACCTGGTACAGCTCACCTGGCTGCCTCTCTCTCCAGGACTCTCCCAGCAACAAGCTGCTGTATGCCAAGGAGATCTCAACTTACAAAAAGATGGTGGAGGAGTGAGTACCGGCCTCTCCCAGCCCTTCCCTGGCCTCTCCCCCTCCCAGGCCTCTCCCTTCCCCTGGGTAACTCGCCTGCCTCCTTGCAGTTACTATAAAGGCATCCGTCAGATGGTCCAAGTCAGCGATCAGGACATGAACACACACTTAGCCGAGATTTCCCGGGTAAGAACAAGGGATGAGCCCATCTCTGATCCCTGTTCTGGGCTCATGAGAGGCCCACAGCCCACCCCACATCCCCTGTGCACTGTGTGCCTGTGATGGACACTAGGGAGTCACAGACAAGGGGTGCTGGAATGGGATGGATGGCCTCTCTGGGGCCCTGCATGTCTGCTGCATAGACATGTCTAGGGCCACAGACTTAGCAGCCTGCAGGGAGCAGGAGATGACATCTGTGATTGAACGTGAGCTCCTGTGGGGGCACCGTGCCCACACACCTCATGCAGTCCACACATCACATCACAGCCCCCCTGCTCCCTAGCCGTCCTCAACCTGGATGGCTGAGAGGCTGAACTTGACCCTAGCCTGTCCTTCCCTGGTTCACGGTCCACCTGCTTGAGGTCCCTTTCTCCCCTCCTCAGGCGCATACAGATTCCCTTAATACCCTGGTGGCCTTGCACCAGCTCTACCAGTATACACAGAAGTACTATGACGAGGTGAGGCGCCACTTCCCGGGGCGGAAGGGCTCTGGACAGTACTTATCATGGGCTCTCTCACACTGACTGACTCCACAGATCATCAACGCCCTGGAAGAGGACCCAGCCGCACAGAAAATGCAGCTGGCCTTCCGCCTACAGCAGATAGCAGCTGCGCTGGAGAACAAGGTCACAGACCTCTGACCTCAGCCTGGCCCAGGGACCTTTCTCTCTCCAACCAGCGGAAGACAAGCCTGCCAAGCACCTCTGCCCTCAGCGTGCGTGGACTCCTACAGCATCTGAGCAGTACTGAGGCCAGTCCCGTGCTGCAGCCTGCCAGCACCAGCTCTCTCTGGAGCCAACATCCGGTCCCATTTCGTGTCCGGTCTCCTGAGTGATTTGCAAATGTGCCTTAGGTGTCTGACGCCCGCTGGGCCACACACAGTCTCCCAGCATTAGCCGCCAGGGCCACCTGCAGCTGTACCACCTCCTGGGGACCCGGCTCACCTCCTGGGCTCTGCAGGTACTGCGGCCCAAACTGTGTCTGTCCTGCAATGAGGACAAACGGTACGATGCCTTCCTGACCTCACCTGCCTTCCCTGCCGGGCCCGTGTCCTCAGTAACAGCAGGCGGCCTGGGCCCCACCTCCAAGGTCAAGCTGGACGTCAGACGTCGAGGCCCAGGCTACCAGGAGGAACCCCAGCAGACGAACCCTGGTCACCAGCCTGTCAGACAGGTGGTCCTCACAGAGACCTCCCAGCCCTTTTGTAAATCTTGTTTGTTGTAAATCAAATACAGCAGTTTTTTTCACTCTGGATTGGCTGCACATCTCCAGGGGTTGAAGATTACTGACCTGCTACCACCTCCGTGGACACATCACAAAGGTGATACCCGGGGTGGGGGTGATACCTGGGGTGGGGAGCCTCCAGTCCTGCCTACTCTGTCCTGACACCACCCCTGGCCACCACCCAGTAGTGTCCATAGCCCTTGCCTTCCTCAGAAGCTGAGGGTCTGGCCTGAGCAGGTCAAAAGGGGTTGTGGGGGCTGGAGGACACGCCTAGGTCCCCCGCCCTCCTGGCCATCACCTCCCTTGGGAAGTCTGCGGGACTGAGCGCCACCTAGTGGACAGAAGGCTCACCTGTTGTCACCCGCGGGAAGTTCTCTGAGAGGGGCATGGCCCCGGGTCTGTCCTGTAAGGTGAGGTGCCTCTCACAGATGGAGTTTAGGATAAAGGAGACCTCAATTACTAATTGATAAAGCAGCAGTTAGGGATGAACAGTTAGTCATCCCACAAAGCATTCAGGGATGGGGCAGAGGCCTCGGGACTCGGGTAGTTGGCTGTGCTGTGGCTCCTGGCCAGTGCATCTGTAGGATGGGGCAGGAGAGGGACCATCAATGGGATAGTCTGGAAACCCATCCTTACCCCCAGTGTCCATCTCCTTGCTCATCCACTTCCACCCAGCACTTCTCAGAAGTGGTTTGCTGAGGCTCTGTTCCAAGCATGGAGGCTGTACCTGGCCAGCAGGTGTCTGAGGAGGATCACCTGGATCACAAGGGGCTTGTTTCAAGACCCTGGATGATGGGGCTCAGTGACTGGAGGACCCCCCTGGAGGGGGCTGTGGTGACTAGGAAGGACAGAGCATTTCCCACCTGAGAAGTTGAAGGCCAGGTATCTCCACTGTTCTAGAGGCAGGGGGCGCCTAGAGGGGCCAAAGGCTGAAAGTCCAGGGCTGGAAACAGTGGTTGTGGTCCAGCCACTAAGGAGGAGGTGGGGGCTGTAGCTAAGGGTGTGGTCAGAGTGGGAATGGGACAGAAGAGGGAATGCTTCATCACATGGCCCTAGACACAAGAGCTCTGAGGGAGGGGTCTGCTACGGTAGAGCAGCAGGACCAGGCACCCCCCCCCC